TCTCTCTGGATGGATTAGTACAACCAGCTCTGGCTGTGAGCTGAGACACACAGACCCTGCTGGTACCGACTGTTTCTTCCACTTTCCCTGGGCCAGCCCCTGCACCCTCCTTCCCACGTCACTCACTCAGTCCTTTCCTCCACTGGGGGTGGCCTGTGTCCCAATCACTCCCCCAGAGATCTGGTTTCACACAGTGCTTAAGTTCTCAGCGAAGAGACTGCTACCCTGTTTCAGTGTGGAACTTAGTTGCTATGGTCAAGAAATTGACTATGGAATAAAGCATACCAATGAAATATCACTAATTCAGATTCTGGGGCAATAAAATAGTGCTCTCATTTCAATGTGAAGTGGACCCAAAAAAAACCTTACGAATTGATTAGCTATGAAGAAAAAACAAAACTGGGCATGGTGGCATACACCTGTAATCCCAGCAGCTTGGGAGGCTGAGGCAGGAAGATTGCAAGTTCAAAGCCAGCCTCAGTAACTTGGTGAGACCTTGTCTCCAAATAAAAAGGGCTGGGGATGTGGCTCAGTGGTAAAGCACCCTGGATTCCATCTCTAGTACTCCCCCCAAATAAAATAAAATATGCTAAATTTCATTCTTTAAAGCAAACTCCAAGGAGACATTCTATTGTCCTAGTTTATTGGTTTTTTTGAGCTTTTATTACACACACACACATACAAAGTGCTTAGGGAGAAGAGAGGAATAGAAAAAGTGAGAAAAAATTTTGAAGATGTACATGTTAAATTATAATAATTATGAAAGTAACTGAGTTTTTATCAATTTGATTTTTTTTTCTTAGGCATATTAATACTTTCCAGTGAACCTAAATCTAATTAGACTGGGGGTAGAGCCCGGTGATAGCGCACATGCTTAACATGTGTTGGCCCTGGATTTGATCCCCACCACCCGCCCCTGCATAATCTGTAGGGTCCAGTTATAGCATGACTGGGAGGCGGAATAATGGGTTCAAATCTCAACACTCTTGGGAAAATCTTAAAAGACCTCCTACACCTCTAAAAGGTTCACTCAATTTCTTTGTCTGCCAAATGATAAAGGAAATCTTCCAGGGTTGATGGGAAATATTAATAACAATGTGTTCCCTTTTAAAGTCTGAAGTCCTGTGCAAGTAAAAACAGGATTAAAATCATTATTACCGAAAGCTTAGGGATGGCTGAGGGCAAGGTTCAGACACAGTGTGATGTGGGAGGCACCGAACAGAAACTGTAGCGAGAAAAGGCTGCTTCACCCTGCAGCCTGGCAACTGAGTCCAGCTCTGCTTGATGTCAGCCAGAGGGTTTGAATGACTTCCCTAAACCCTTGGACGAGGAGCTCTGTATACTGGAAGTGGTCCATCGGCACCCTGATTGGAGGCAGAGGTGACAGGTGAGTTACCTCCGCTTTTCATTCACCATGTCGTTTTGGAAGGGGGAGACAGGCTCCTGCTAGGGTCCCCCTGGGCAGAGTAAGCCTCAGCTCCTCGGTTCTCGGCTAGCGTCTTGGAGGACTGACTCTGGGGACTGCTCCAACTACTCTATACCTTCCTAGATTCAATTTCAAGGTTCAGTTCATAACCATGACCTCCCTCATATCTCTAGTTCACCTCCTTCCAGCGGGACAGCTGCTGCATTCAAAGTTGGTACAAACCCATTTCCAATTTACTTGTTACTGATTCATGTGAGCTGGTTCCTCTTTCCAATTATTTTTTTAGCCTTTAAAAATAAAAATCACCCATCTCCCTGGCACCCCACATAGATAAGATCTTGACTAAATAGTGAAATGCAGAGTTTTCCAAACTTGAATAGTGATCTTTGAAAGGAAACCTAAACTCATTATGAACCCTGGATAACACACATTGCCAACTTGATTTGAGAAATACCGAGGTGATGCAAAGGGCACAGGAAGAAAGCTACCTAATGGTGTGGCCTTGGAGAAACCATGGCCAGATTATCTACCCAAACATGGTAACAAGTCATACTTCCCAGTTCAGTGTCAAGAGTGTCCTAACTGCAGGAGCACAAAGATCAATTCAAAAGCAAACTAAAATGTGAGAGCTAAGATGTAAGCTACCTAAAGGTTCCCCAGACTGAATAGCTCTTTGCTGGCAAAATCCCAGAACCCCTTCACTATTGCCCTGGAACAATCTGCCCCAGAGGATTGAAGTGTACAAAGCTCTGGCTCTTAAATCCCATTTAGCATCTCCCCGCTTCTGTACTTGTACGTTTCTGGACCTGGAGATGGAGTGGGTGAGGACTGGGGTTCTCTTAGGCACCAGAAGTGTTGGAGGCAGTGCCTGGGACAAAGCAGGAGCAGCTTACCCAGGCAGAGGCCCTATAACAGAGGAAGGGAAGTAAGAAGTCACACCAGCAAAGTGTGCTCGTGCAGAAACCCACCACTGGATGTCACAGTGCTCCCTGCCAAGGGAACTCCTCATCATAACCCAGCGGTGTATTCTGAACTGGGAATTCAAGAGAAGACCTCTGCTTCTGGGAACTTTGCAGTTCTTGGGAAGTCAGTTAATCAATACCCTGACACCACGGGATGGTGGCAAGAACTCAGAGGAAGGCCCTTGACCAGACTAGCTAGGGGGAGAAGTAGAGGTGCCAGGTGAGAATATTCTGCACAGAAGGAACATGTGTTTCTCTGCTTAATGGCAGCAGGAGAATGTGGAAGGAGCCAGGGTCTGGAGTCTTATGGACCTGAATTCAAATCCCTGTTCCTGTAGCCTCTAACCTAGCTAAGTTATTTCACTCTCCTCTGATAATCACACATGCATGCCTGGCAGGGCTGCAGTGAGACTTAAAGGAGATAATGACTAAAAAGTACTGGGTACACAGAGTATTTAGTGAATGGCATTAAATCTCATTACAATATTGTCCATCTCACTAGTCCATAAGCTGCTTGATCCCGAGCTCTTCATCATTACTGTATTCAACTCTGCAGCCTTTCTGGAGTGCCCATGCTTTGGGAGAGTGTGAGGACAAGATTTGCCATTGGGTGTTGAGACGCCAGAGGTCTGCATGCATGGGTGAAGAGGTAGACGGCATTGGCGCTCCCAGCACACCCACCTTTCTAATGCTAGCCCTTGCCACCATTTACTGAAGCACATGCAGATGGAGGGGGCTTCCTACAGACATCCAAGTGCATGAGCTGAATTGGCAAAGCAAGTTAAATTGTTAAAGTGCACAGTGGCAGCAATAACTATTAAATGACAACCATCTTGAGCAACAGTGAATGTCCCACCCTCCCTCTCCCTCGATTACAGACACCCTCTCATCCTGGAAAGACGCCTTTCCTTCCCTTTTCCACTGTTTTCTCCTGATTTCCATCAAGGTGAGTGTCTCACACTTAAATCTACCCAGCTAGGGCCTCCTTTTTGAACTCCCATTAGCCTAGACTTTGTTCCCAGTAGCTGTGGGGCCTCAGGGGGCACCCCTCCCTTCTGGTGCCTCGATTTCTCCACTGGCAGACACAGAGAGTAAACCATGTCTCATGCCAACCTGGTAGTTACATTGTGAGGATAAAGGAGATAACAAATGAGATAATATCTATGATGCACAGAAAGTCCCTCAGAAGAAAGGCGCTGGATAAATGCAAGATGTAGGGCCACACCTGATTAGTGTGTATGTTCTGCCCACAGCTCCTGCCCACAGACTCTTCTCCAGCCTTGAACACAACCACCCTTCTTGTCTGTAAAGGCTAGCTGTACATACCCATATGCACACACCCTTCAAACACCTCCATTTTCCCTGAGTGCCTGTAGAAAATTATTTTTGAACTTGGAGAAAGCTCCAGTTACAAATCCTCTCTTGCCCCTAACCGCAGCCTCCTCTCCAGGGTCTTGGTGTAGGCAGCTGATCTCCCCGTGGCTGGGCTCCAGGGCTCCCAGGATCACTAGTAGGCTGCACTTCCAGCAGAGGGGGGGACCCTTCTCTGGAGCAGCAAAGCTTTGTCCAGAACTCAGTGCCTGCTCACCAGCTTGCCAGCACTCAATGACCAGAGCAGGGGGGGCTGATAGTAGCCTGCTTAGGTGCTGGGGATCCATCAGCATCCCTTGTTTTTAGGAAGCTGAGATTCGGAAGCCAACAAGTCTGCAGCACTTTCCCAGGCATGACACCCGTGGGCGGGTGAGCAGAACACTCATATGCTCCGCAATTCAATCCTTTCCACTTGGAGCAGAAAAGAAACGTCACCTGGCCCTTGATGTTTCCGTGCCTGTTGCTGCCTGGTTGTGTGCTCAGCAGGCTGCTGACAAGAGGAGTTAAGCCTATAGTAGGGTGGGCTGGGGAGGGAGTGGGGGCCTGACTGCCTGTGGTGGGGGAAAGGATTGCACATGACTGTGTGTCAGATACTGCCTGCATTGCACGTCCAGGACTGACCCTGGTGATCTGTAGTTCCAGAAGGCCGCTCAGACACCAGGTTCACCCACCTTTCTTTCTACCCACTTCACCTCCCGTGATTTATTCCTTCAGGGAAACATGCCAAGCGTCTAATTGCATCCGTGTCCTCTCTCCACCCGTGCGTCCATGGCCCATCTCCGAAGTTCCAGGCGGCGAAGTTCAGCGACTGGTCCTTAACTGTCGGACCCTCTTTGGGGCCTCAGCCCCTGTGTCCTCACTTCCTCGCCTCACCTCTGACACTAGTGTCACCTAACACTTACGTCTCCAAGATCAGATTCGGGGCTGGGAGTAGGTAATCCCTGTCTGCCAGAGACCAGACAAAGACAGAAGGACTGACGGACGCACCATCATTTCCTTGGGGCTAGGGCCAGATCAGCAGCACCCACGGTGGCAGAGGGGGAAGACCCTGACAGCTACATGCGGAGACAAAGCCACCTAGACAGACACTGACACAGACAGACAAAGACCGACGGACGCCAGGACGCACGCACGGACTGGCACGCCGCGCGGGGAGCTCAGTTTCCCCTGCAGCTGGGCGCCTGCCGCGGCCGCAGACACTCCACGAGAGCCGGCACGATCCTTGGTCCACCGCACCTTACCTTCGCCCTGAGCCTCGGGGCTGGTTTAGGATGTTCTTCTTTTTCTTTTTTTCTTTTTTTTTCCGGCGTCTTTTGCGGTGTGCTCCAGTCTCCCTTGCTCCAGAGCTGGGGTGCCGGGTAGGTCCCTGCGACGCGGGCAGCAGCTCGCGGCTCTGGATCGCTGGACAAGGCGAGCAGAGAAACTTTCGGCCTCCCAGCGGGTCCGCAGCCACCGCAGCAGCCCGCTCTCTGCTCGCCAGCCTCTGCGCGGGGCCCTGAGCCGCGGGCGGGGCGGGGCGCGGCGGGGCGGGGCCAGCGCCGGCGCCGCTGATTGGCCGGGCGCTGCCGGCAGCCCCGTCCTCCCTGCGCGCGGCCTTTGTTCCCGGCTGACAGCTGGGGCCGCTCCGACCCCCGGGCTACTCGGTGCTCGTGGCCCGCGCCGGACGCGCTTCCCGGTCTCCGCGCTCTTACTCCACCAGACCGCACCCCGCGGCACTGCCGGCTCAGTCTTTCTCGCCGCTCCCTTTCTCCCACTTTCCCTATCCTGATCTAACCCCGCCTTCCTCCGTTCATTCCCAGCACACTCCTTTATCCATCCCCTCTCCGGCTCCCTCTGTCTGCATTCTCCTCTTCTTCAACTCTTCTTCCTCTGACAGCTTCCCTTTCCCAGTATTATCTCCCCACCTCTCGACCCAGCAGAAAGCCGGGTTTCTGGGTTCCAAGACCCGCCGGACCAGCAGCCGAGTGCAGGGCATTGCTTCCCCACGCCAGAATTTGAGACTGGAGCCCGGAGCGCCGGCACTCGCACTCACAAGCGTTTCCAATCACACTTTTTCGCCTTGGTCACAGGGGGAGCTTCAGGTGAAGGCAGAGGCCCGCTTCGTTTGCAACTCTTACCTGCACCCCAGTCCCCTTCGGACGCCCTCATTTTCTCATCCACCCTCACTTTCAACTTCTCACAACTGAGCAGGAAGGGCAATCGAGCTCACAAGTTTTGGCCGGACAAAGGGTCACTTGAAGGGGGACTGTGGAAGGGGTGTCAGGTGCTGCCTGAGGGCGCACTGAAGCTAATCCGTGAAAAACAGGCGTGGCAGAAGGCACAGCTCTGTGCAGCGGGTGTCAGCCCTAGCCTGAAAGAGGCAAATGTGGAGGTAGGGGGGATGGGAAAGAAGTGGTCAGACCGAGGTGCTGACCTCTGATTACACATAGAATGGGGAAAGACAGACTAAAGGGGAAAAACCGTTTTCTTTTTCTTTTTTTCTTTCTTTTTTTCTTCTGCCACTCCCTTGCTCAAAACCCAGCAGGAAAGCCTCCCTGCCCGATTCTAGGTTTCCACTACCGCAGAAGAGGGGTTTAAGAACTCAGATCTTGGTACTTGTCATTTGAGCCAGCACCTTCAATCCCCTAGGGTAACAATTCCCAGAATGTAAACTTGAGGGCAGAGATTTGTTTGTTCTATTATGTTGTGAGAAGTTTTGTTCACAGAGGTATCCCTAACACCTGAGACTTGCCAGGCACATAGTAGGCTATCAATAAATTCTTTGAAACCACGAATTCATAGATTATAGGTTTTCTGGGAGGATTAAATGAGAAACCCTGGCTTGTGGTAAGAACATACGTGCATGGTAGGAATTACACATAACACTACAACGTCTATGTGTCGATCACAAAGTCTACCTGGCAGCCTCCTCTCCTTTACCCACCAGTGCATGCATCTGTCTCTTAATCTGAAAAGCTTTTCTCCTACTCCTCTCTCTCTCTCAAAGTCCAGTGCCTAAAATGCAATATTTACTCACACTTTCTCTGATAATCCCAGGCAGAATGATGCCTCATTTCTCTAAAGTTTCATGTTCCTTTGGGTCCCATTTATTGATATATCATGTATGCTTGCTCTCAGGTAGGAATGTCTAGGGAATTTTTGCTGAAGGTGTGAGTACAGATCCAACATTCTGACCCTTAAAGGTAAGGCTGGACTCTGAGAAGGTGGATTTGGGGACCAGGGGGTTTCCAGACTTCAGTCAAACTCATTTTTTTTTGTCTTAAGATGTGGCATTTGATGGAACCAGGCAAAGAACTCCTCAAGCCCATTCCTGGTTCTGGCTCTGACACTGGCTATTTATATGCTCTTGGACAAGACACTTTCCTGGTTTGTCCGGGCAAGGCCGCAATTGTGCTCATCTGCAAAGTGGGCAGTTTAAATGAGTTATTCCTTACGGGCCCTCCTGCCGCACTGACATCTCCAATGGAGATGCTCAATAGAACACTGATTATGATGTGCGGCCATATAAGGAGTGCATTAGGCAGAGTGTGGGCAGTGTGTTGGTGTGTACAGGGTGGGACTGGGATGTGCCATGGAATGACAGGAATACCCTAGGGAAGGGATTCTTCAAAGATGATGTAGTGGCCAGGTGGGGCGGTGCACACCTATCATCCCAGTGATCCAGGAGACTGAGGTGGGAGGATGGCAAGTTCAAGGCCAGTCTGGGCAACTTAGTGAAACTCTGTCTCAAAATAAAAATAAAAGAGGGCTGGGGATATAGCTCAGCAGTAGAACACCCAGATTAAATCCCCAGGACCACAACATGGACAACAAGTACAGAAACAACGATCAAGTGGGTGCCCGGAGAGGGGGTAAGAGTGAGAAGCGGGAGGGGGAAGACCTGTGATGGATGACACTGTATATGTGTATTGTGGTTGTAGTGTGTGTGGGGGGGGGTGGAGAGAGAGAGAGAGAGAGAGAGAGAGAGAGAGAGAGAGAGAGAAAAGCCTCTGGAACATGATCTCCAGCAGAACAAAGCCATAATTAGCTCCTGATTCAGCCATCAGGTATGGTACTGCTATGGCTGAATGAGTTCACACATTCCATCCCCCCAAACTGTGGATTTCTTAATGTGACTCTCCCACTTTCTAGTCTTGTGAAGGAGCTGGCCCTTCCTGGACATCTGGGTTCCTGAGAAGCTGTCACATTGGGTGTCTGCATCCCTTCACCTCTTCCTTGTTTGAGTCAAGTCTAGAAAGCAGGATCGTAAAGCTTGTGCTTGTGAAAATTCCCTGGCCTCCTCCTCTATTTGCCCCCTGCCTACAGGGCTTACTGTTCTGGCTTGGCATCTCATTCTTCATTGCCAAGACCCAAGACTGGCCACACAGGACCAGACTCATGTGCCAGGTGAGCAAGCAGCCTGTCTGGATTGCAAACATCTCTGCCTGTCTTCCTTGATATATTTTCACTTATCACAATTTAAATAATTGCTTAGATTTATGTTTGTCTCTCCAACTCTTCTATAAGTTTCTTGTTCAAAGACAAACATGTCTCTCCTTATTCAACACTGAATCCCCAGAACTCAGCACACGGATGGTATACAATAAGCACTCAAAATATACCTGGATGGCTCTGGAGATGTAGCTCAGTGGTAGAGTGTTTGCCGTGTGTGCCTGAGGCTCTGGGTTTGATCCCCAGCACTGGAAAAATACTTGAATGGATACTGTGGTGTGTTTGTATGCGTGTGCTTGGGATGATGTTTCAAAAAGAAGTGGACTCAAATTCAGAAGATCCACCTCTGTTCTTGCTTCTTCTTCATTATTCTTGCTTGCAATTTTGTTACAACATTTTTTGAAATCAGTTTCCCCTCAGTAAAGTGGGTCTAATGACATTTGCATTCTCCATCTCGTGGCGGTGGTAGAAAGATGGAAAGAATAGGGTTAAAGGTGCTGTGGAAGCTACACAATGGCACATAAATATTTAATACTGTGTTGGCAGGTAAAAAAAAAGGCTAATTCTAGGTAAGTGAGGCTGGCTAATCTCCAGAAGTAGAAGAGAAAATTCATGAGGCCACTGAACAAAGCTTTAATGGATCAACAGGTTGTACCCACTCTATCTCCTCGACACCCCAGTCAAGGAAAAGGAAGCCTGATTTTCCTGCAGGTGAAGCCAATGCCTCACAGCCTTAGAGGACGTCTCGCCAGAGTCCTGTCCTCCTCTAGAGTAGAGAACAGTTCCCCCGGAGTTGCCCTGGGTATGCAGCTTTTGTTACCAGAGTGCACCCTCTTATCTCTAGACATGAGCAAACTGTGCTTTGAATTGGGAGAAGCATCTTTTCCTTGACCTCTCTGGGTGTTCTGAAGATAAGCACGGTGCAATGCAAGTACCTTCCTAGAAAGTATGACTTTGAGGAATTGTTTATCATTATCATTATCACTGGCATTATTATCTGCAACCTCATTCTAAGTATTTAACCCGAATTCAGGTTGAGGAGACCAGAGAAGCTACAGGGGGAACAGACTGACATCAGGATTCCCAGTCAGTGATGACCCCTTTCCACTTAGATGCTCAAGGTACATTAGGAAATATGTCCACCTTACTCTCTCAGTGAAAGAAAAAATGCATCAGAGAGCAAGACAAGAAACTGGCCCAGCTTCACTGGGTTTAATGGCAGGCGTCACACCCATCTCAGAAGCATTGTGACTGGTACAGTGCCTGAGTGCAGTTTGAGCCGGTAGTGGTGACCACAGGCAGGCAGTCTTCCCCTGAGCAGAGAACAGTGGACCAGCCAGCTTGTCTAGTGCAAGACCAGGGCTCAAATGACACTAATGGCTTCTAGTGTGAACAGGTTAGGATAATTCTGGAGGAAGCCTTTGATATAAAAGCCAGATCTAACTGGACTACAGAGAACTCAGAAGGAGAAGTTCTGGTTGATGCTCCCGCCCCTCTCCCTCTCCTTCCAACAGAATGGGGTTCCAGGTCGGTTTACACCTGGCTTCACACTGGTATCAGGGCTCAGGTCTTCCCCTCTTGGTTCTGCCATCTTCAGAGCATGAATACTGTCCTCGGGATTTCAGGATGGAGCCCTCAGTCTGATTATCACATACAGAATCAGAGTGGACCAAGGAATGATAAATCTCTGTGACTGAGTCTCTTTGTTAGAATGAAGGAAGCCTTTCCCAGGTGGTCCTCAGTTGATACAGGAGTGGTCACATCACATAGTGGCCATTGTCAGATAGTGGTGTGTGTGTGTGTGTGTGTGTGTGTGTGTGTGTGTGTACGCATGCGCGCGCACACAGGTGCACACATTTGCTTTTGTGCAAGCATTTTGAGGGTCGACTAGATATCGAGGTATACCTGTGAATCTCACCTTTGTCTTTGAGAAGCCTTAGAGAGAACAAATAGTCATAGTGTGCCTATTGTATACCACATCTCCGTTGGACACTTTATCTGTAGTATTCTATTTAATAACCATAGAAATCATTATCTCTATTTTCCAAATGAAAAAACTGCAGCCCAG